CAGCCGGGCCTCTTCCAAGCTCAGCGTCACCAGCGGCAACTGCAGGGCCACCCACAAAAGACCGACTCAACAGGCTAAACGAGATTGGCGTGGCCCAGATGTTGCTGAATTCAAGTAGGAAGGAACCTAATTTGAAGCCCTCACCACACAAACACAAATTGCTCATGAGCAGGCCGACATGCGGACATGGATACATGTCCATGGACGCATGCAGCAGACACAATGAGACCCCAAGAATGTCATCGAGGAATCTCATCAATGCAGCCCAGGCAGCACCGCCTCCAAAACACAATCCGTCTTATGTGTCAGAAATGGTGCAAGATCTCAACTTGAATTGGTGCGATTTCTGCCAATGGCGGAAAGTTGCCCGCTACTCTCCTGCAGCCGGTGTGTGTGCGTGTGTGTGTGTGTGTGTGTGTGTTAAGTGCGGGTGGGGCATTCATGAAGCTAGTCTTCCGGCTGCGGGAAGTCATGAGGAGGCTGCTGTGCAGCTGGCCTGTTCAATTACTGGGGCGGTTGTAGATTCAAGCAAGGGCCGTCACCTCCTTGCAACTATTTGGTATTCTCTGCTCTGGATTCGCGTTGAATGAATCACGGCCAGAATGGAACCTCTGGCGGAATGCTCAGAATCCGTTCAGGCCATGGAAAGCGCGAGTGGTTGCTTGCCCTATTACTACTGCTACTGCCTTCGCGAAATGGGGAATCACACGAACATTTGCCGGCCCCCAGGTCGGCATGCTGGATTCCAAATAGAGCAAGTCTTGACCGCAGCGCACCTGCATTGACGCTGAGGACGGCCCCGACGCAGCCAAAGCCCGAAGGCACTTGATGTAGCTGATGTCGTCCCCGTCCTCGGGATTTCCCATCCATCCCGCTACATCAAGTCGTTCCTTGGAGAACCTCCCGCCGCCTCTGGGAAATTTCAATTGGCTTGCAGCCCCGGAGCCTGGGGAAAGCGTTTCATGGCCCCTGAACCGCAAACAGCTTTTGCCGCGCCGAAGGGAAAGCAAAAAGGGCCTCACCGTGCCCACCACCCCGCTTTACAAGCTCCTCACGAGTCTTCCAGTTCTGATCTTGCATCCAACGATGCGAGTCGAATATCACCCTGGCCCCGCCCTGGGGGAGCTTCAGATCAAGCAAGAAACAAACGAAATGTGGCTTGTCTTGCACTGTCATCTCTGTCATTGGGCTTTTGAAATACCTTCCGAAAGAAAATCCTGCTATGGCCTCCCTCACAGCCTGAGGATACACTGCGGCCAGTAGCCGTATCTGATTAGCTGGTCAGCTGGTTCTAGCCATTTGGAAACCCAATGCGCGAAACATCTCTGGTTGATGACAAGAGGCGAATCTTGCAGCCCCCCATCAGCCCACCATCAAATCACATGGCCCAACTATGGCTCAAGGCAATGTCCTCCTCGCTGCGCATGACAAAGAAGCAGGTGTCACTCTCGCGGCAAGACTGCGCGTTGGGGCCTACCTTGCACAGCCAAAGCTACTGGCTGGCCACCCAGTCGTAAGGACGAACCGAAGCATCCAAGCGTTAAGCAGTCGAGCTGTTGAGTGCGGTCTTCAATGTACGGCCGAACAAAGCTGACGGAAGCTCAGGCCAACCAAGCCAATCATCCATTCAATCCATTCCCTTTTGGTTTCCTTTGGGTGGAGCCTAAAAGTTCATATAAGCACAGGGTACGACAAAGGAGCTGGCGAGGCTGGGGGAAGCGAAGCCAGGGCAGAGTGCGATGGGAGGCCCAAAACACAGGTCAGTTGTTGTCGACTTATCTGGGGAACAAGGCAACTTCTATATTGGCTCCCTTTCCCAGTGGAGTACACGGACAATTCGCCTTTCCATGTCGCTTTCTCCAACCCGACGATCCCCCCTGAAAAAGGATTGGAACTCTTTTAAGGGTTGGTGTCCAACTTTGTGTGGCCGCAAACCCAAACAAAGGGGAAAAATATGAGGGCCCGTCTAATTTCCACTGGCTACCGGGATATGTACGCTTAGAGCCTTGGTAGCTATGTAGGGGGTTGTCAAAACTAGATCCCTTTTTGGTAGCCCCTTTAAAATGCGGCACAAGGCGGCACCAGGCCAGCAGGGCCCATAATTCAGACCTCCCTGCAAACAACTCCTGAGGGTGGTTTAGGTGAAACCAGTAGAATTTGCCCTTTTGGCGGCTTTAAACATCACCTTATGGACGGTTTGAAGTGAGTGTCCTTTTGGTGGTGAGATTTAAACAGGAAAGGAGAAAGGGACCCGTTCGTTTTCCAAGCCCACGGCCTGCTTCATGACTACCTGCCTCTTGGCTTCGGGGTCCAACAGAAGGTTGAGGCTTGAACAAACAGGGCCCGCATGCCTGGATAAACTGCAGGCCCTTCAGCTTCCTCTCGGCCTCCGGGTGGTAAGCGAAGACGTGGCGCATGAGGCGTTCTGGGCCCGCCTCGGGGCGTCCCCCAGGACTTTGGCAAGAAGAGCCCATGAGCCCACAGGCTACTACGCAACACACAAAACAAATGTACTAATAGCTGTCATTGCTGGGAAACAAGCCCTGTTTCTGTCCAACAAACAAATATGATGGCATACATCCCCCGAGGGAATACGCGCAGTGATTCTAAGCGCACCCGTTTTTCCAACGGGAGAACCCGCTGCAGGCTTTGAAGTTTGAAGCCTACAAGGAACTTGAATCGTCAACTTAAATACCAAGCCCGGCTGGCTCCAGCATCGCTCCCACCCCGCGCTTTGATGATTTGAGGAAAATGATAGCGTTCATCACACTTGGGGATTTTCATGGCAGGGCTGATTTGCAGCATCTCTGATAGAACGGCGTTTGGCATGAAGCTTGCAAAAATAAATGGCATGGCTGCGGACCAAACCGGGATTCAAAAACAGCGCGCCCGGCGCGTTCGTCTCGGCTGCGGGATGCGGGCCAACCTCCCCACACCTTGCGGGCGCACCCCGCCTTCAGTCGCACGAAACGGCCCAACTCGCTGTGCCCGGTGCGGATGTTGATCACTTCCTGCAGCAAGGCCTTGCGCATAAGGAACATGGAGAGAAAATGTGACTGTCTGCGCGCGTGTGCGCGTGAAAGCCGTGAAATACTGCTCAAGGCGGTTGCGCAACAGAAGCAACATGACACCAACCATGCGGAGGAGTCCCAGTCTTGACATATTCTTTAAACGGTGCGGAACCCTGCAAACGGGTGGTGCGCCTTCTTGGCCAGGAATTCTTCCCAGCCAATCCGAAACCTGAGGGGATCCTGGAAGGCCATGCCGTTCTGGAGACTTCCAGCAACTGGACTGAGGGAAATCCCAGAAGTTCCACCCACTTTAGCCAACGACAAACGCGAGTGGGGAGAAAAGTAGAAAGCAATGATGGCGAGAAGAGCGGGAAGAAGAGATGCGCGTTGCAAGAAAAGAAACAGGCGGAGTTGTTGCAAGAATGCATATCAGAGCATTTGTCATCTGACCTTCACACCATATTGTTCCACCCAGCCAAACAAACTGGTCTGAAGGGACCAGTTTGAAACCACCGCCCAGCGCCTGCACCGAGCCGAAGCGCCGGCCCCCCACTTCCACCGGCCCACTGCCCGCGAAAGCCGCGTGGTCGGTGCCCGACAGCTTGGTGGGCGCCGGGACGGCCAAATGCACCACGCACCTTACCGTCCACACCACACGCTTGCAACTTACATTTGCCCAAAAGCCTTGAGAAGTCTTGAGCTATGGTTGGTGAAAGGTAGGGGTGCCTCGCGCACCGCAAAACACCGCAAAGCACCGCAAAGCACCGCAAAGCACCGCAAAGCACCGCAACGGAAGAAGACTTTGGAAGGTGAGAGACGCTAGACCCGGGTGCGCTTGATTTCGACGGCCCTCATATAGGTTTTGAGCCCGGGGGGGAGCCAACAAATGTCTCGCCCTTGCAAAAAAAAAAAAACACGATGCGCTGCGTTGAACACGAGTTTCTTCAGACAACCTGGGCGCTTGGCTGCGGAGGGTTACCTCAAAGGACGCAACAGGTAGACTCATCTTGCTTCCCATCTTAAACATCTTTCCAAAGGCATTCCCGGTTGTGACACACTCAGGTTTTGCACTGCTGCGCAGTTGGCAGGAATTACTGCGTATGCCCTGCAAGGGCTGATCGACCGATGAAGCGGTTCTGATGCAACTACCACCTCCCAAAGAGTGAATGTCAGGGGCCCAACCTGGGATTCCAACCCAAACACAAACAAAAACCAAAAACAAGCCGGATCTGTCAGGCAATGTCAAGCCAAAGGTGCAGACATTCAGCCTTCACCTGTTTGGCACGGCTGTAAAGAAAATCAGGCCCTCTCGCCTCAAAACCGAGCCACGAGCCGCGAAGTTCGAAGTAGAGCTCGCCAGTGCCCAGCACGCCACGGGCGAAGGTTCGGATCTCGCCTGGACATTGAGTGGGGGTTGCCAAAAGCTGCGGTTCTCCCTTTGGCGCCCCTTTAAACCAGCCTAAAACGGGTACCATCAAAAAACGCTAGCCCAAGTTCAGCTTGTCCATCCCGCCATTTCGTCACCATTGTGCCCAGTTGGCCTGGGCTGAGTCTCTCCTGCGGGAGGCGCGGCTCCACAGCAGGCGGAAACGCGCGACAGCGCGAACCTCGGAAAAGTACCATAGGCCAACCCGGGATCCAAGTGCGAGCAAAGAGCTTTGAATCAGCCAAACAGCCAAGCATTAATCAAGAAGGCAGCCAACCAATCAACCAACAAACCAGCCAGCCAGCCAACCAGCCCGCCAGCCAGCCACCAACCAACCAGCAACCAGCCAACCAACCAGTCAGCCAGCCAACCAACTAACCAACCAACCAGCCAGCCAGCCAACCATCCAGTCGGCCAGCCAACCGACCAACCTGCCCGTGTTCCCACTTCTGTCTCACGATGACCCCAGCGCAACTTGAAGCTTCCAACCACCGCCTGAACTGCAACCACGGCACCTTGAGTATTTCCAGGGCCGCCTTTGTATCCCTTGTCTCCTTTTCCGCCTTTGTATCCTTTGTCTCCTTTCTCTCCTTTTCCACCTTTGTCTCCGCCCCATTCTTCACCTTTGGCTCTGCCGTACCCCTTCTCACCTTTGTCTCCCTTGCCTCCTTTGCCGCCCTTGTCGCCTCTGCCTCCCATGGCTCAGCCCCTGCCCTTGGCCAACTCCGCGCCGCACGCCGAGTTGGGCCAACGGCTCGGCGGCTTGCCCCAGACCTTCGGTCGCCCGGGACTCGAGCCCAAAGGACTGGAGGTCATTTCCTGATCCAAGGGCTCACACGGAGCTGCGTTCCAAACCGTTCAGGGAGCTCCTTATCATAGACATGCCGTTTCATTCCAAGTCCTTCCTCTTGCTTCATGCCGAACCATTCCTGGAAGAGAAAGGGAGCGGTGGCTGCCTCACACTTTTCACAGGCACTGGTGTGTAGCTGGGTGGCTGGAACATGGCGGCTCCAATGGGCTTCTGGGGTTGCTAGTTGTTTACATTACGAGCCCCGAAATTGCAATCCATCCCCTGGGGTGGCTCCGTTCACACGCCTTGCAGAATTCAGAAACCGAAACATTGTAACAGCAAGACCAATATGTTTGACTCGGGAAAGGCTGAATTTGTCGCCGCTGTTACCTAAAGCAAGGAGCCACGCTGCTGTGTTTTGTGCATCCCTTTTGGTTTGCTAGTGTGGTTGGCTGGCTGGCTGGCTGGCTGGCTGGCTGGCTGGCTGGCTGGCTGGCTGGCTGGCTGGCTGGCTGGCTGGCTGGCTGGCTGGCTGGCTGGATGGCTGGCTGGCTGGCTGGCTGGCTGGCTGGCTGGCTGGCTGGCTGGCTGGCTGGCTGGCTGGCTGGCTGGCTGGCTGGCTGGCTGGTTGGCTGGCTGGTTGGTTGGTTGGTTGGTACATTTCTGCGTTGATGGTTGGAGAACTCTGTCATTTGCTCCTGGCTTTCGCCTCAGCACTATTGACGGACATCTAAATGCAAATCCGATCACTATGTGTCCCAAGTTAATCAACATACTTTGAATGAACTATTGCAAAGCGTTCAGAGGATGCTCCTCCTGTGAACAACCCCATCTGCATTTCAAGAACTCCATCCCTGCCCTCATGCCAGCGCGAAAAAAATGCTCCTAATCCGGCATTGTATTTGAGGATTTCAGCACTGCACGAAGGCCCAGCACCTCCTACCGGCATGCCAACTCCCGACCTCGGCCAACGGCATTCGTTTTGCAACGGCACGCGCTCGCGTGGACGGGCTTCCAGGGGGTCTTCCCCAGCCCCGCGCCCCCTCCGGGACCAGCTTTGCTGGCCCGCCGGCCCCCGCAACCTGGCGCACTTTGGCGCCTTTCTTGCCAGGCAACCTTGGCCAGCCAAAGGCTACAAACTGCAAACCCCGGAGAACTTGCGCAACACTGATCTTCTTCTGTTTGGTGATGACGTTCGGGCTCATGATTGTTGATTGTGTCGCAACGATTTGTCAGTGCCAATGCTGGCGTTGACAATGAGGTGAAGCTTGATTGATTGAAAGCTTTGTGGCGATGAGGGTCTTGGTGCCGCTGTTTTTGCTGGTGATGGCGCCTCAAGGTTGGCAAGCAAATTGTGGGGCTTGTTTGGGCTTAGTGCTGGCAAACCGATCATGAAGTTGTCAAGGTTGCCGGGTGAGCTTGGTATGCTCGTTCTGTTGTTGGTAGCGGCAGCGTGGATAGTTCTCATTTGGTAGGTAATGCTGGCAAGGGCGCTGATCTGGGGTGAAGTTTGCGGTGCTGTTGGCATCATCATCATCATCATCATCATCATCATCATCATCATCATCATCATCATCATCATCATCATCATCATCATCATCATCATCATCATCATCCTCATCCTCATCCTCATCCTCATCGTCATCGTCATCGTCATCGTCATCGTCATCGTCATCGTCATCGTCATCGTCATCGTCATCGTCATCGTCATCGTCATCGTCATCGTCATCGTCATAATCATCATTCAGACATTCTCCCGTTACCGATGTCAGTGGCATGGCATTATTGTTGGCACAGCATTGCTGTTAATGCGGCGGTGACGCGCGGGGCGTCAATGCTGCCCACGTGGATTGAGTGTGATGTGACCTTGCTGATGGCAAGCAGGGAAAACCTGAAAACGACCACCCATTCCCATGACTGTCACAAGAAGTAGCCGCGTGATGAAGTAGAGCCACTAGTTGCGACAAGAAGCTACATTTGTCGCGGACCTGCAATCATCTAGAAGCACATGCCATAGAAATTGCGAACAACAAGCTTCAAAATGCACACTCTGCACGCCCCAAAGCTCACTACAAATGAAGCAAAGCAGTGAACCAGTCCCTACTTGCAGCTGTCTGATGTGCTGCAACTGCAGCTGGACAACACCCTATTCGTGCACCATCAGCTACAGCTGTGACACCTACAGGCAGCGCCGACAAGTCGCATCCCCTTGACAAGCTTTGTCCCACACCCGGCGCGATTTTGGGGCCAACAAGCAGGGTTGGGCCAACCCTTAGTATATATAATAGTGTTTCAGAAGCCTTCTTTGGGCTCGTATAATCAATTTGACCCAAGCCTACCCAAATTCTGCAAGCCAAGCCACTCAGATTGTCGCTGGCTCAAAGCCTGGGCTCTGCCACAAAGCAAAGAAACCAATCAAGGCCGCAAGAAGGCAAGGCATTCATGCACGCATGCAAGCAAGCAAGCACGCAAGAAGGCATGCAGGCAAGAATGCAAGCAAGCATGCATACAAGCTAGCAAGACTAGCAAGTAAGCAGGCAGGCAGGCATGCAAAAGCAAGCAGGCAGGCAAGCAAGAAAGCAAGCAAGCACGCAGGCATGCAAGCCAGCAAGCATTCCTGCAAGCAAGCAAACATGCAAGCAAAGACGCAAATAAAGATGCAAGTGGGCAAGCAAGCAGGCAAGCAAGCACCCGGGCAGGAGGCATGCAAGCAAGAAGGCAAGCATACAAACAAGCAAGCAATCATGCAGGCAGGCAAGCAAACACGCCAGCCCATCGCTCACCCGCCCTGATGCCTGCAGTGGCTGCAGGGCGCGCCGTCAGTGCTGCCAGGAAGTGCCTGGGACCCATGCCCCTCCCTTCCCAGCTGGCAAAGGAGCATGGCCCCAGGAACCACACGCCGTCCCCTCTGCAAGATTCACCCAACCGACCAACCATACAGCTATCGGAAAGGACCCAGCTGTGAGGATAGAACAAGAAACCAAAGCTGGTGCTCAATCTAGGTGCACGCGGGCAAGTCTCCTGCCCGGAACGTGGATGGTGGGATGTATCATGCAAAATCCCTGGCGGTCATCCAGAGGGTACAGCTCTGCCCATGCGCGTGTGTGTTTACATGTCTGTGTGAGACAGCCAAGCCTCCAAACCTGTGACACGAGGCTTGACCTGGTGTTGACCCTAGTAGAAAAAGGGAAGCCTTCTTGGGCTCCATGTTTGCTTGTGGGGAATCCCAAACAGCAGAGAAAAGAAGGTGTCGTCGTCGCTGTCGCTGTCGCTGAACATCTGAGGACACTTGGGGACCCGGCCGCTCCAGCTCTGCGTGCTCCCGAGCTTCAAAGTGCCACCTCATGGCACATGGACCCGAGACTGAACTTTCAACCAACGCTCAGCTCGCCAAGTTGCTACTCAAACAGCAAGCCGAACCAAAACTTTTCAGGGGACCTTCACCATGGATGAGCTTGCAACCCAGGTGACCTTGTTCTAAGCTGTGCAAATGATCCTGCAGGATTGGGCTTCTTTCGAGCAACGTGACTGCCTGGAGGAAGAAAGTGGGTGACAAGGCAGGACAACATACTGGGTGCACCCCTGCGGAAATGTCAAAGTATGAACCATTTTTTGGACCTCACTAGAAGCACTCTGGGATTCTCGAGATGGGAGCAGCTTCGCATTCTGAGTGCGGCACACAAATTCGGAAATGCTGAACATCTCATCGCCTTAGCTTGCCAAATCCCCCAAACGAGTCCCCCAAACAGCCAAAAACCTGGGTTGTTCAAAGGGGGGTGGTCGGTTGCGAAGGATCAAATCCCAATATGGGGGCTGATAGCGACTAAAAAAGGGGCTCCTAGGATTCCTTTTTGGGTCCCTGACAAAAATAGGAATCCTGGTCCGCAGCCCGTAGTGGGACACTTCAAGGGAAACCACTACCAGCAAAAGTAGCATAAGGTAATCGATACTTCTGCGGCACCCTGCAGCTTGGCCTAACCAGCGGGTTTTCTTGGTTTGTGCTCAACTGGAAATGTCACCTGAACCAGGCTTAACAAAATCGAACCCCGAAACGAATGCCAGGAAGCAAACAAGAACAGCATACCAGCGTATCAAATCAATGTGTCAACGCGCGCAAGTGCCAACTAATAAACCAACCATGCCAGGCCGTCCAACGGTATTAAATGTAAGTCCGGGGATTGAACACAACAGCCAACCACCGAAAGAAGTGCCTGAGCAGACCTGGAAAGCTCTAGGATACATGAGCCCCGAACACCATCTTGCATTTCCTGCATAGGCATGAATGTTTCTTGCACGCATCCCAGGAAAGGAATCGGCAATGAACCACTGGCAAAAAAAAACACCTTTCGAGGTGGGTGTCCGTATTGATAATGGTTTCAGACAGCCTTGCCTCTCTTTGCCTGAGCATCCCCCAAATGCCGGATGTCCAGTTGCCTCACCATTGGAATTCAACCAAAATAAGACTTGGCTCTCCTAAACGCTCTTGAACCACCCACACCCCAACTCACCGCGTTGTCACCCAACGGCAGACTTGACCTCCGCATGGCCCCGACAAACTTCGCAGCGCCCTTGACCACCCCTGGTATCCAAACCGGAGTGCCCGGCTCGCCAAGTCCTGCACAAGAATACCCTCCTGCAAGGCGGCATGTGACGCGGGCCACGAAATCATGCGCTCTGCATTTCTTGCAAGGAACACGTTTGTGTGGTACTGTAACCGGGGCGATGCCCTGTTTGGTATTGATATAACTGCGTGGCTCCGGTCTGTTGGCTGCT